AAAAAAAAAAAAAAAAAAAGGTAAACTGGTACAGCATAGGAAATGAAAGAAAAAATTTAAGTTTTAAACATTTTTAGAGACATTGTCTTATTTACTTTGTAAAAGAAAAGAACTTGTTTTGCGAGTTTGTTCTCTCAAATCTCCACACCAATAGCTGGTCAAGGCAACTCTGATATATCTCTGCTTCACCTCTTGGTCAGAAAGCCAATGAAAGATAAATGTAGAAGATGGATGCTGATACCCCCAGCTGTCAGTCCAACATTTCATTTTGGTACCATGAAAACTTCTCTRACTGCCCTGCTTTTGCAAAACTGAGTCTTCAGTTGCAGTTCATAAACAAATATTGATTCCTGCTTCCTAATGATTTRAACTAGTGCTTACAGCAAGGGCTTTATCCATTGTACATTTAATTTAGGAAATACACTATCTGAAACTAAACATTTTAATGCTTCTTTATTTGGGAAACACAAGGATTTATCAGACATCATATTTGTATTATGAAATCCAGGATGASTTTTTAAAAGGAATAATTTAAGAAAAATAACAAAGTTACATTATTTGGTGTGTTGGCACCAAGTTATTCTTGCTCCCCTATGGCATGTTAGAAGACCAGAAGGAATAAACTGATGGACTTCCACTAGAGACTGAATTTGATCCTACACCTCTGTTCAGATGCTATTGATTGATGCTTAGTGGCCAACTGTGACAATCACTTTAACTCCATCAAAACTTACTTTTGTTCCCAATGACATTGCAAGCAACAAACAGAGTGATAAAAAATAATCATAGCTTCTATGTCAGTGCTCATCAGAAACATTTTGAACTGCAGTTACAGTGCTGAAATGATAAAKCTTATTACTATTAAAAGAAATAGCAGTATTGATTTTGAAGTACTACGCCKTGAACACCACTGATGTGGTCACTCACTCTGAAAATTTCCAAATGAAATTAGAAATGCTGATATGAGAGACACAAGAAAAGACAAAATTGATGTAAACTCCAAATTCTGGAAACGTGTCCCTTTTAATAAACYCAAACCAACAGTATAGATCTGAAGTCTACAGCTTGAGGGTCAAAACCTAAATCTCAACCAGCAAACTACCACTGGTCTAACCCTTGAGATATGATGTGGAGTTGCAAGGTCCAGTTTGTATTTGATGATTTGTAATAGGACAAGGAGTAATGACGTTGTATTAAAAGAGGATAGATTCAGACTGGATAAAAGGAAGACATTTTTTACAATGACAGTGGTAAGACACTAGCACATGTTGTCCGCAAGGAGGTTGGACAAGATGACTTCTAAAGGTCCCTTCTAACCAAACCAAACCAAACCAAACCAAACCAAACCAAACCAAACCAAACCAAACCAAACCAAACCAAACCAAACCAAACCAAACCAAACCAAACCAAACCAAACCAAACCAAACCACTATTCTATGATTTGAGTGCTCCTTGATTTTTATTTCCCTTGATTAAGTTGTTGTGCCATGTTGCACCACTCTTGTCCTTTGCTATCCACGCGAGGTTCAGCTCGGGAAGGTGGCCAGCGAGCATCCAGTGAGYTACTGCCCCCCACCAGCCCCTCAGCCCCCAATGACCGCAACCAGAGGTGCCCAAAGCTCCCCTCCACGGTGACCTCAGTCCCAGCATGGTGGGACAAAGGCGGCCGTCTCTCCAGGGGTCAAAGGCCATCATCATCCTTTGGGATGGCAAAACGTCGCTCGTATGGGGCTCCTGAGCAGGTCTCCTGCGCGCCCCGGGGAAACAAGGGTATATTTCGGCCCAAGGAGCCGGGGCGGCCAGCGGGAAACTCCTCCCCAGGGGTGTTGCACAGGAAGGGGTGACGGTCGGGGGAGCTCCTTGCGAGCCGGCGGAGTCACCGCTGCGCGTTGTACTATGCGTGTGTCTTGTGTTACAGCCATGCTGCACATCGGCGGCCAGAGCGAAGGGCGCGGGGAGGAAAAGGCTGTTTACACAGACTGCAAACCGCCCGGGGAATAGTGCGGGAGAGGAAGTGAGCCGGGCCGCTGTCTGACTGCCCCGGCTTCCTGCTCGCTCCCTCACACGGGCAGGCGCTCACACACACACACACACACACACACACACACACACACACACACACACACACCCCCACACCCACACACCGGCCCGAGGGGGGAAAAAAAAGAAAAAAAGGGAAAACAAAATCAGGATCTCATTACTAGCGCAACAGAGCGCCTGCCGAAGACTGTCAGCATGGAGAACCAGGGAATTTTACTCAGCTCCCTGTAGACTGCCAGGAGAGAGCGGAAAAGTCCCTCAGCCGCTGGGTAGGTACAAGTGCTGCTGCGGCCGCCCCGGCTCCCGCAAAGTTTCGGGGGGCTGCGGGCAGGGGAGGGGGAGGCCGGCGGCTGCTGCGGGGCCGCGCTTCGCTCGCTGGTGAGGCGGCAGCGGGGACAGCGCGGGGCAGCCCGCGGGAGGGCGGTGAGGCTGCCGGGCACCGCGGGGAGGGGGCTCGGAGCCCCGCACGGGGCCGGGGAGCCCAGGGGTCCTGTCCCGGGGTCGGGCCCGGCCAGCGCGGCGGTAACGAGGCGGGGGCGGCGGTCGCGGGGGCGGGATGTCGGAGGAGGCTCCCGCGGCCTCAGGGCCCCCCCGTCCCGGTGGAGGGTTTCCCCGGGGGCCCTGCCACCCCCCGGGAGCTGCGGGTGCAGCTGAGGGGACGGACCGCGTTTGTGTGTGTAGAGGGACTCGGGCGAAGGAGCCGGGGCGTGAGGAGGGGCTGGGCTGGGAAGGGGGTGCCGGGGAACACCGCGCCGCCCCGCAGCCCCTCGGCGGTGCCGGGGCGTACCGTGCCTCCCTCCCCGACGGTGCGGGCTGGCAGTGCCGAGGRGCTGCCCCCTCCCAGCGGCATCCCGGTCGCGGCGGTCGGGGCGGCGGGGGCCGCCCGGTGCCTGTCAGGGCGGCGGGGGCGCCGCGGGGTCCCCGGCGGCGCTGCGAGGCCGAGAGGGGCCGGGGAGGGCGCGGGGGGAGTGAAGGGAAGGCTCCTGCAGAAACTGCAGAAGGGACTTTAAAAAGGAAAAAAGGAAAAAAAAAAGTGTCGGGAGAGTTTCTGGCTTGTCTGGAAACAGCAAGACTAATTGCCATGCGCTTCCGGTTTGAAACTGGCAGCAGACAACATCTTGAAAATGAGTCACTGCAGCTCACAAAGAAACTCTGTGGTTTTCTCCCTCTCAGGTTTATGTATTTGCTCCTTTTTACTGTTTCCTTTGTAGTCTTCTGCCTTCTTCCCGGACCTTCCGCCTCTCCGCTTATCTTAGCCACTCTCTGCCCCCAGACCCCCTTGACCGACGTGGATAGTTTCCACTACCAACTGAAAAAAAGAAAAAACATCAAAAATGTTTGGAAGGGAAGGGAAGGGAAAAAAAAAAAAAGAGAGAAAGGGAGAGAAAGTGGAGAGTTGTTGTTGGATCTGGCTTTGCTGAAGGTTGGAGGGATTCTGATGCTGCAGGGGGAAAAAGTTCCCTGAATTTTCCACTGGCTGCAGGAAGAGAGTCCATTTAGTCATGGCTAAGTAATGTCTGCACACACACCAACTAATCTCATTAGGAGTTTCCGTTCCCTAACACAGGAGGGTTTTGTGAAGCCCTGTCAGCCTTTCTAACGTTGCTGTTGAAAGGGAGACAACTTACATCTTTCTTTACTTAGGAGYGTAGTGCTAAGACATTTTTATATAATGTAGCATCTTTTGAAGACTCCAAAAGTCAATGGTTGCATTTCATTTCAAGCAGAAAGTCGTGGTTCATCTCGTATTTTGCTCATACAGRCTTTTCAGTTATTTCAGATTAATGTAATTTATGCATAAATATTTCCATAGGATGAGGCATATAAATGGGGTAGCAGAAGTCTGTGTTATGATAAACACGTTCCATGCGTCTCTGACAATTGCATGTAATTGCAAAGTTAAAAGACTTTCGAGTCAAGATAGTGAGGTGATGGCYGTATTTGAAAAATACATTCAACCACAAAACCTTCATGCATTGGTGCTTTACATTTCTAGTTTTCAAGTGATTTTGTACATACCAGTTTTGATTTAGTGGTTTGTGTAATTATTTCATGATGATTTGCTCTCATAGTGGTCATGAAAGAAGTCTATGTTTAGAATTAAAAAGATTTTTGCCATGCCCCACCAATCATTAAATTAGAAGTAATAACTTTTTGCGGGGCAAAAAAAAGTCTGGAGCAAACAAAGAAAATGGATTCTTGCTTGCAAGTAGACTTTAGCTAAGGGAAATGTCAAAAATGTGAGTAAAATGGTATGCAATAGGAAATAACACTTAGCTACTTACTTGAATTATCATGTGATATCATTAAACTAGCAAATATTATGCAAAAAATAGTGCTTGCTGTATACCACGTGTTTACCTCTGAGGATCTACAGTGTTTCCTTTTCCAAGTGTCTCCAGACTTGTGTTTCCAGACTTTTCCTATGTCCAAGTGGCACAGAAAAGTTCTTCATTAACATCACATTACAGAGGATTTCTATTAGTGGATTAGTGACACAATCTCCAGACACAGATGCTTCTTGATTTTCTAGATGGGCAGTGAAGAMTTTTTAGAATAGTGTACAAACCAGAAAATGTCTCTCTCTCAATCAAATGCAGTCATCGGGAAGCAAGAGATTCTGTTCCRGTTTTGGAAGTTTATTTATTTTGTAAAATTCTAAATTTTAGAGAAAGAAGTGCATTGCTGGACATAGTGTTCAAAAACCTGTTGAATATGTTATGGAGCAGTTAGTGTGGTGTACAACACCAAAACTTACTGAAGAGTGTTTCCTGGCTCTTACTATCTCTCTTTGAAATACAGACATTAAATTGTTCACTTATTGTATTAAATATAGCTGGAATTTCAGTGGGCTGTCTGCTGAATCAAGGTAGATGAAGCACACACATTCATACGTACATATATGCATATATGTAGTCTATCYACACTATATAAATTTCGTATGTTGTGTTCTCTTGACATAAGCGTAAAACATCTTGATGTCTTCAGGAAAACAGATGTAGTAGCAGTGTACTTTGTGTTGAGTGCTCTGTAAATCTGAAAGACTGAGAAGTAGCCCATAGATTTGTTATAAATACAACAGTTATGTCTGGAATAGAAAAAARATTAAAAATACTGCGTGATAGTTTCTACTGTTTATACTGTAAATTTTATTCTTCACCTGTCTAAAATTGTATTAGGAGCATGTATTATCTGCTAAGTGTTATCATCATTGCTTACAACTTGATTTTTCCAAATCAACTCCGTGAGTTGTTCCTGAAAAGAAAAAACACTACAGGCTTATGTCCTTTCTGAAATCACGGACTCCACCTAGATGCAACAGCTGAAATAAGCAACTCAGTCTCGAGGGAGGGAGAAACTCGGCTACAGTCTTCCTTGTAACTGTTTATAACACCATGCACATGGACACTTTTATATGTAAAAACAAAAGGGTATTTTGTTTTATTCATAAGTGGTTCTCAGAGCTTACTGATTCACAGTGGTTCTTTGCTCTYGTTACTTAATGTTATGTCATTAAACTTAAATCATGGAAAGAAATCAAGTATATCACACTGAAGTATTTCCCCTTTGTTGTGCAGAAAGTCCAATTAGGTAAACCTTGCCTTCTTGTTGTAATGCCCTCCTTGGGACTGAGGCATTCTTATGACAGAGTTATTCTTTGGGGCAGGTATTATTGGTCAAGTGAACACAAATGCTGATCCAAAACTGGTTCTGAAAGACTTAGCACAGAATGAAAGTAAATTTTTAGGTTCACCAAGGTGCATGGAGCTTGTTGCTTGCTCTGAGGCTCATATATTTGCACATAGAAAGGTACCTGTATATATAATATGGACTTGGAGGTCCATCAGCTGTACAGAAAATACAAATTTTAGCCTTGGGAATGCAATCACATGACAACATCTCACTTCAGAAGAAAGAAATAGGTGCCAAAATAGACAGACATTTGGCTACTAAAGATAAGGGAGCACAGGATAAGGGAGCACAACACAGTTACTTGTGTTGCATGTATTTATAAAAAAGGGTTTTAGGTAGTGTGTTTTGGTGACATCATATAAAATTTTCAAGTTCATGTAGTTACCGTTATGTCTCTGAGTGGTTGTCTTTCCTAATGCTGAATAATCTAAGATAGTGAAGAACTGATAAATTAACTAGTACTTCCCATAAAGATATGGCAGGTTGGACTCATTTGTGCAATTAGGTGGTTTTCTTCTGGTGGAGGTGGCTCCAATGCACAGCATGCCTGGATGCTGCTGCTGGAATCCATTTTGGAGCTGTGACACTGATTATAGGACAGTTATCCTGGGCTGGTTTCAAAGAGTACTGTTGGTTTTGAGCTGCTGTCTGTGTTCAGTAACCACACCCAATGGTTCCTGCCACAGGCTACTCTCCGTGTATCCTTGGATTGATTCACCATAGCTTTCTCCTCGGTGTTTCCCACAATAGGGAATCTCACCGTCTTGAATCATTGCACAGATGTTTACTTCATCTGTGGCTTGTTAAATGAATAAATGAATATTCTGGAGGCTGTTGAGAGCTCTTGAAAGACTGAGTATGTCTGTTCTCATGTTGAAGTATTTTGTTGAATAATGAATTATTAAAGATTTAGTCATGATTTTGAGGAGAATGTCAAGGTGTAGGCACAGAAAGTCCAGCTCACTGCACCATGAAATACAAGGCTGCATGGATGGAAACAAAGCAGATGAAGCATAGAGTGCCTCTCATCTGTGCACTTAACAAAAAGAAACTCATMTTTGTCCGTAAAACTGTCTTTAATGTATTGTGATTTTATGTGCCAGTAATTATATCAGATTTCAGGTTCTTAAGGGTTTGTTGTTAGGAGAGGATATTAATTCAAAAGCTCTCTGAAGGACACTTGCTGCTTTTCTAAAAGCAAGAATTAAACAAAACACCTGCCAATAAGCATTGATACGAAAATATCACTAAGTCACTACTTGTTGGCTAATTCAATGCCAGTTAGTAACTGTGTAGTCAATTCTGCATTTAAAATTTTGTATGAATGCTGTGGTAGTTTTTTTGCACTAGCTAAATGTACCCTGGAGCTGTCGATCTGCTTGATCTTGCTGGGTGCAATTCATGGGCAGTATCTCATATTATACTGAACATCTAAATATGTAAGTAATATTTGAAAGTTATATTGCAATTAAGAACATTGGAGACCAATTTTGTCATGCCCTAGGCAGGTGCAACTCAGCTGAAAGTGATACTCTTCTTTTACTGTTTCAGAGTTAAAGTTCTCAACACCGTGTCT